CACATGCAACAAGGGTCAACGAACCCTGAGTACAAAAGTACTCAACAAGACTTAACCGAAACAAAATTGATAGAACTCAGGAATGCAGGCTCAGGGATTCAAGGTATGGCTTTATCAATAATCAAAGTTCTTTACGTAAAAGCTCTTTAACAAAATTCTTTGTATTAATATTTAAAATTTCATAATATCATACACAAAGCTGACACGATCCGCCTTGAGATCATGAAACTTCATCTCCAACACTTTCTCAAATTCCAAAATTAAACTACGATGATGAACAGAGAAGTGAGTCTCCATAACCGAGGAGCAACGACGATTCGAATCGATTAAACCCAGATGGGGATTCCAGACCACACGACATATGCAGGTCCCCGACCTACATATACCAACCTACCCTCGGATCCTCTAAACAAGAACGGGTCCACGCCACCCGAGAATACAGTACTCCACACTCCAGCCCATTGCCACGTGGGTATACGCTATTCCCGCCATCTCTCCACTCCCAGTGCGCGAGTAGCCATTCTCGCGATAGAATCACCAAGTTAAGGCTTACCGGAGTATGTGGTTAGTACTACAAAGTCTCACCACACGCAATTCACCAACGGTATGGGCCTTAATCGACACAGGCAGAAAGAACCCGCTCACAAGACCTCCATATCTTGTGGCTCACACACACCGAGTCCGCCCGGTCTAGATTTATTACTCCACATTCCCATATCACATGATAACATAAGTAACCAAAGTTCCATTTAAAACTTGTAGGTGACAGGTAATCACCTGACTTTCATCGTTCTAAGCATAGCTAAGCATAACTAGGCATATACGAATTAAACTGGTGACAAGGTATATATAACAAAACAAGGTTGGTAATGCATCAATTAGGTTTCCACTTGACTTCTAATCACTTAATGCGGTAAAGAAAAGCAAAAGCGAAATAAATTTGTAAAACACAAGGTAGGTTGAAATGCATCCCGGGCTTGCCTTCGTTGACGGAAAAGTCCGGTTCCTACGACGTTCCACCAGTATTCGATCCGACCTCAACAGATGGATTAACCTCCTCCGCAACTTGATTAACTACCACGTGTTCACTTTCGTTCACTACACGTAGTAACAATGTCATGTTTAACATGATGCGGAATACGAAACATGATGCTTGATGATGGATGCAAAAGTTAACAACTGGAATACAATTTTCCTTCGCGGTACAGTTGCAAACCAACAAAACCAACTGACACTAACATCTAGGGTTACGACAAGTTAACTTATTAACGACCTAGGGCTTATGACATAGGTGACTTGATCAAACTGATCTTGAAACCCTACTGGTCACAAAACATGACCAAAACAAGATCAAACCCTAACCTAACACTTAGGGTTTGCTTCAATTCAATTTTTAATTAATTTAGAAAATAAGCTCAAAATGAACTTGTTCCATATGACCTTAAAATTTTACGTAAGCTTCCACATGACAAATTAGTGTATCAAAATAAATTTCATAATTTTTGGAGTTATACAATGCTCTACAAAAATTATGGAAATTACATTTATCAATTAATTGACTAAATTTTGGAATATTAAAAATTTATTCAAGTTTCAAGTTTCATATTTTTAAGCCATAATAGAACATGTACAGAAGCTACACACAAATTTTCAGAATTTTTGGAGCAGTAATTATTTTCCGATGAATTTCCAAAGTTGTTGCACTATTAAAAATCCAGAAAATAAAAAATCTCTCTGTTCTCACTCTCTTTCTCTCTGACGACCCGGCCCCGTATGTCAGCGACCCAAAACCAAGCGCACGGAGGTGCCGCTGACTCCGATCGACCAAAACACGCCGACGGCGAGACTCTGAGAGGCGGACAGCACCATCATTATCAACATCACCCCGCGAACATATCCCTACCCTCAGAACAGTAACAGGCACACCGGAGGAAGCTCCACGCCAGCCATGGCGGCCATGGTGACGCAGACACAGCGACGCACGGCACAACTCCGGCTACAACGCGGTAGAGACTAAAGCGGAGAGAGCATCACGCTCAGGAACTCACCACAAACACGATGGTATGCTCGGTGAAGGCGGAGACGGACTGGAGTGGCCTAACCACGGTGAGGCAAGGTCGACGGTGGTTCGGCCGGCCATGAGGAAGAAGAGCGTGGACAGCGAGTTCCCGGCAATTTCAGGCGACCAAGGTTGGCTAGCTGTGTTCGCAAGGAAGAGACGAAGTTGGGACGGCCTTTACCGAGAGGGCAACGGCGCTAGGTCGACGGCAAAAGCTCAATGGAGCTATGGCAACGGCGGTGGCGGCGAAAACAAAGTGAGGATGCTGGGGCAAACGGCGGCGGCTCAGTCCTTATAACGCGGCTCAGAAGCAAGGAGAAGCCACGCCACGGCCTTCACCGCGCCAGCACGACGCCGAAAATGGCCACGCGCGCACCTAGAAGCAAGCCGAAGGTCGCCGGCGATGTAGCAAGAGCGGTGAACACTGTTCATCAAATTTACAGAATTGCCATCCAATTTGAAACTCAAATTACTGTCAAATTATTTTAACAACTCAAAAATCTCCAAAAATAAAAGTAGTTCAAAATCAAAAGTTCTACAACTTTGCTTTTTATAACCACCCCCTAATTCGGTCTACATTTTGAAATGAAAATTTGAATTCGAAAAGGGGACATTTAAGGAATTACGTCTTTTCAAATTACTTCAAATTTTTCATAATAACTTTGAAAACTCCAAAAACAAACTTTGTATAACTTGACAAGATCTACACTTTTGCTTTTAGGCTCAACCCCAAAATATGCTTAGATTTTGAAATGAATTTTTAGGGTAGGTTTTAAATATTGAAAATTAGGGTTTTCGGAATTTCAAATCTATACAAAGATTTCGAACTTGTTTCAAACAATACCAAGCAACACTTATAACATAAATGTAAACTTGTTTTAGTGAATGCATATCAAAGTTTACAATATGACCAATACCTTGCAATGCATATGATGACATATCCTGTTTTTAATATTTAAACAGCCGGAGTGTTACACCTCCCTGCCGTTAAGGTCCTCTCCCTCTCCAATGTCCGACGTGCTGCCCACGCCGCATCGTCCTCGTGCTCGCCCGAGTGCATCAGCATGGGCCACGCGATGCTATCCGTGATCAGGGCGAAGGGCCTGCTGCGGAAGAAGCACGGCAGGGGCGACGTCTTCCCCGGCGACGACATCGATCCCGCTGAGGAGGGCTCCGAGGCCGTGCTGCGGACGACGATCTCGGCGACGGTTGATGGGGCGGTTGGGTTGCCGAGCACCAGCAGGACCCGACCTGCGCTGCGCCTTCCGCCGCTCCGTCGACCTCGGCGTCATCCTTGAGGAGGTGGCTGCGAACATCGTCCCTCCTCGTCAGCAACGCGAGGGCGATTTGGGGGCGCCGCGTGGATGCCTGTACGAGGACCACCGGGTCAGCTTCGATCTCGAATATATACAAGAATCCATGCGCATGATCGCTCAATCATGGGGATCAGCGGTATTCATCATATGGAGTACTAGGCCTCGTTTAGTTGGTCACCAAGTTGGCGCCGACTGATTTCGCAAAGCACTGTAGCGATAGTAACTTGTTCGTTTTTATTTGGTAATAATTGTCCAAACATTGACTAATTAGGCTCAAAACGTTCGTCTCATAAAGTACAACCAAACTGTGCAATTAGTTTTTTATTTCGTCAACATTTAGTACTCCATGCATGTACCACAAGTTTGATGTGATGGGGAATCTTCTTTTTACATAATGTCAAAATTGATATTTTGGATGAACTAAACAGGGCCCTAGTCTCAGTTTGCATATATAGCATAGTAGGTCTAGTATTCTGAGATCTCTCAGGTTTAACTCTGCAGTAGCCTGTTCCACGAGAATCTCCTGCTTGTGCTCAGTAGAGAAATACACAGTAGTACGTAATCTGGGTTGTGAGTTCCACGAGAATCATCTGATAACAGGCTCATATATACAAGTTGAGATGGATATATAGCAGTGAACTATTACGTTACATAACAGTGAGCACGAGAGAAGTTGTTTTCATCTCATTAGCAACCTAGTATAGAATCCGAGATCTTGCTGTGATAGTAATCCAAAGCAATAGCGAACGATTAAGTATGCAGTTTCATGTAGTATTCTGAGGTCTGGTTGGGGTAGTAATATCTGGGTTTGAGTTCTCAAGAATAATCTGATTGGCTGAGTAGAAGTAGATATATGCATAGGTAATCGGGCGTAATGAACAGTACTAAATATGTCAAATATGTTCGTTCGTGCGCATCTTCGCCTGAATTTTGCTTGTAAACTTATCTCGTGCACATCTTTGCCTGATTTTTTCTTGCCAACTTATGGTTTCTTTACCTGCAAAGTGAATTTTACTAGTATCTGGTTGTGATGTATTGTCTTTGAAAAACTCCGGCTAAGTACCCCGGCTCAGCAAGGGAGCAGCCGAGCAGGGGTAGTCTCTGAAAAACTCCTACCTGTATCCCGACTCAACTCTGGCTCAAACTCGTCAGTGAATGGGCCTATGGTCCAATAGCAGGACACTACACTACCCACCAGAGTTCAAATTCTGGTGTCGCACCTTTTTCTAGAATTTTACGTGTGGAGTGTGGGTCATGTGCATCCCAAGTTATACCCAATAAAAAAAAAGTACCCCAGCTCAAACTCCTAGAGAGTAGAGCAATACCACGGCTTAGTAAGGCTCTAAATTATAAGTCATTTTGATTTTTTAGATATAATTGTTTTAACTATGTATCTAGAACGTGTATATCTAAATGTATATTAAAAACTATGTATTTAAAAAAAATCAAAACACCTTATATAATTTAGAATAGATGAAGTAGTAGACTTCACTTTACACACAAAAAAAAAGAGAGGAAGTAGTAGACTTCACTGGACACAAAAAAAACGACGTCAGCAGCATCTTTGATAGCTTTGATTGGAGAAACGTATGTAGGAAATGGACACATGAACAGTTTCAAAATAACTAATGGCATCGTCGGCAAGTCTCAACAACATGTAGCTTTACCATAGCGGGAATTTTAGGCTCAATGTACGTCCTGATGGCCAAGAGCCCTCGTTGAGCTTCCTTGAGAACATGAATGGGCAATGGGGAGCACTTGTTACTTTTATCAGCAGGCTCGAAGCACCTAGAAGAACTCTGATAGGTCTGCAATGTAAGGCATTCGAGTGATGTCATGCTCTCAACAATATGGCATGTTAGCTCAACAAGACTCTTTGCTGACGTGAATCCTAGGATCTTCACTGTCTTCAACTTGTGGTGCTGCTGTCCTTGCATCTTCCTCAGACCTGAGGGATCCGTGAATATGGAGACGTGTTCCATTTCATACTGGGACACCTACAACATATAATATGAAAAAGGAAAAAAAGTTATAGTCATGGTTCTGAAGTGTTTACTACTGTTAGATTAGAAATATGAACGGCAACTTACATCCAAGACCAAAGTTTCCAAGGAAGGGCAACCATAAAAAAGGAAACAAGAGAAAAATAATCGTAAGCCGGAGGAAAGGTTGCAGCGAAAAGAAAAATAGTAAGGCTTTTGAGGTGGAGATATTTGCTATGCAGCAATGGTGTATTGATCTGCGAAAAAGATGAACAGGTTAGTTATACTTCAAGTTATATGACTGCTGTAAATATATGGAATCAAAATATGAATATTGCTGGTCCAGCCAAAACGAGTATACCTCTCTTCTCGAAGATATAGTGGCAGCTTTAAGGTTTGGCATGCTGGACGGAAGTTCAACACAAACGTAATGAACAGCGCCAGAGAAGGACAATCTTAGCTCCTTCATTTGCAATGTTTCTCCGAGTGACAGTTGAATGCGCTTTCCTTCGTAGTCAAAGCTGAAAATATTTGGAGCTTTGCTTTCTATCATTTCCAGCTTGCAACAACCTAAAACCTCTAGGTACCTTAGGCGCTGCAGCGTGCAAGGGACCTTCAAGCAACCTATCCCATCACAATACCTGATTCCCAACACCTCCAAGGCAAAAGAATTGGAGAGAAGGCACCCTAACTCGTCCCCAGTAAAACTGACATGATAAAGATGCAGTTTTGTCAGGCTTCTTAAACAACCAAGTTCAGTTGTGGGACGGAAGGAGCAACCAGTAAAGTGTAGGTATCGGATTGAGTCTCCACTCCCATTAGATAAGAGTGAGCATGGAAAGCTGTATTTTGCTATCATTGGTATTTTAAGTGAAAGTTCTTCGATTCCTGATTTAACAGCAACTTGGAGCCAACTGTCGAGATAACCATTGTAACCTTCACACATCTGAATGTTGAGTTTCTTGACACCAATGCCTGAGTGCCTTTTCAGAATCTGGTCAACTTTGCTACAGAAATCTCTGGCAATATCATCATCTTCATATTCCTTCTTATTCGATCTCAGCGTCCTGGCACTGAAAGTGAGGTTGGGATGGCATCTCCAGGAACGCAGAAAAGCACGAGACACACAGGCAGCTCGAGCAGCAGATCGCATTGGCATTAGGGATTGTATATAACACCAGATGTCCTGCACGCATGTTACAAAAGCATGGAAGAGAAATTCAGCATTAGAAATATAAAGGCAAATGGTTACTCTAGATGGAAGGGAAAAGAACTGAAGAAAACTATGCCACCGTAACCCAGGTTCTATGCACATTGTTGCACAATGAGTTTTCAATGGCTGCTTCAAAAACAAAGTATGCAGCTAGAGCTGATTAGATACTTCGAAATCTATTCATACTTCTTTACTTAAAAAAAATGCATGTATGTATGGACAGTGAGGTCGATACATGCTTCAAAATCAGTGTAGATTGGAGTTGGACACAACAAACATGCACGTATGGAGTTATGGAAAGGGTATCAAACTACCAATGGAGCATCTTCTTGATATTAAAACAACAGGAGGTCCATGCAATTGTGTTGTATTGATCAACTTCGTCATCCACAATGCAAGAGACATGATTAAAACCTTAACCACTGAAGTGATAGGGTAATAGACTGAACATGCAGGGGCGGAGGGACAGGGGTGCGCGCCTGGCCCCCCCTAAAGTCATATGATCTTCATTATATATATACCCTAAGTCACTAGAAATTAGATAGAAATTAGCTAAGTATCTTGGTATCATTTGTTGATTGATCTAGCAAAATGGCAAATAAAAAATCTATTTATCTAATGGTTAATAGGTTCCTAAATTTAGTCATAACTCTTCTAGTATCTACTGAGAGGGCCTTTAAAGTAATGGAACTTGTCAGATAAATACTAGAAGATTGTAGATGTTTTTTTGCGTGTATAATTATATATATCTTTGTTTCTCATTTATTTTACTGTTCCATGAATTTTATCGACAATTAGTTGGTTGGTTCTCGGTAGACCAGCCCCCCCACCCAATATCTGAATCCTGGCTCTGCCCCTGTGAACAGGACAGATAACAGAGTTCTATCCTACAAGGGTATGCACTATGCAGGTCTAAATCACAAGGAATTGTCTGTAATGGTCCAATGGTGATAACATGGTACACATCACGGGAGACAGTACTAAATGATGCTGCCTTTAGAGACATGTCACGGCAAACCTAAAAGGGAATCATTTTATTAGATCATACTGCCGCCATTCCAAATTATAAGGAGTTTTAGCTTTTTTAGATACATAGCTGAAAGCTATGCACTTAGATATACACTATATCGATACATAGTAAAAAAAAGCAATGTATCAAAAAGCCAAAACATCTTGTAATCCGGAACAGATGGAGTAGATTCTAAGGATTTTATAGATGACATAACAATTACTGGAAAGCAAAATCTATTGATGGTAGGTTGAGAGGCTCCAAGTCCAAGAAATTCCAGCTTTTACACATTGGAGGCCAGAAGAAGGTTTCAGCATTATTATTGTACTTATTTAGGAGCAAACACTAGCTGTTCTTAAAAGTTAATTATGCACAGTTGGGAAAAACGCAAGGGTTTGGGTGCCATCGTGACACATGGTTTACTGATATTTCAGTAGCACTAAGCCTACCATTAACAAAATGGCATGGCGTGCCTCTGGAAGCCTAGGTATCCTGTGCCTCACAACCTTGAGAATCAGCTTCTTGCTGGCAGGGTGAGACCTTATTATTATCCCGTGAAGCAACCAACCCATCTGCAGCACAGCATTGGTGATTATGAGTAACTCGGACATTTGAGGCGCAAAACAACAAATGCACACAGAGGAATCATTTTTTGTACTCTTATCAAACATCTGTTGAATAATAATAGTAACACAGACAGCTTGTTAAAACAGAGCATGCAGGTTTTTATCTTTTCCCCAGAGCGTGCATAGTAACCTCTCCTCAGGTTTTGTCAATCTAATGGAAAGGCGGGGGCTGTGGCCCTAATAAAACTCTTAAAAAAAGGTTTTGTCAATCTGGTCGAAGCCAAAGAAACAATACAGTGCAGGCCATCAGGCACTGCTTTCAATGTCTCCTCCCTCACAAGGAGAGGCTCTCATCTCGGATTTTACTTATACAGGTAAGAGAAAGTAACGGATTCAATTGAATGTATTACTGTAGTAGCAATACTTTAACAATGAGATACGTATTGTATTCCTCTGGAAATCTCCTTGGCTTAGAATATTTTTTTTCTGCAAACAGATTCACATCAAAACTACAAGATGGGTGGAGAAAAAGTTTGGATTTTTCTATCAACCAGATTATAATTATATAAGAAGAAAAAAAAACAGAGGAAAAGAAGGCGGCGGCTTACAAGTGGTCTGCACTCGCCGACGAAGGCGGTCCGGCTGCCGCTCCATGGACATGTGGTGCATGAGATCTACAAGCCCCATGTCTTCCTCTCTGTGGAATATATAAATATAATCTAATATCCCGGCCCGCCTTAAGGCGGAATCGAATCGATCTCTCCCTCTCTGCCTGCCTTGAACTGAATCCCCTCCAGATCCAGCCTCCGGCGTCTCCCCTCCGGGCTCCGGCCCTCCCTACTGGAGGAGCGTCAATTTGAGGGAGGGGATTGGACTGAGATTTGGGAATCCCACCCAACAAAGAGTCTTGAGGGCGGTTCGATTTTTTTTGTACACCTGAAAATAGCTTCAGCGAAGAAGCCCTCCCGGAGCCGTTTTCAACTAGGACGACGAAGCCCCCCAAAACTAGCTTCTCTCGGCTCTCACCTGTGCGCACGCCAAAAGGACAAGTACACTGTACACCCTCCTCAGCTGCACGCGCGATGCCGGGGGCCCGGCGCCGGCGAGCTGCCCGGTGGCCTGAGCCCGGCCGGCACGGGAGCGCTGCCCAGCAGCCAAAAATAAGCCGCGAGCTCCACGCCACTCCTAGGCACCGGCTGCGCTACCGCCCGCAGCCACTCCGCTCGTGAGCCGCTCTGCCACTAGTACGCACCCAAAGCAAAGAAAGAGACGGACGTGCGGACATGGAAAAAGGAAGGGCCGAAGGGGATTCATAGATGTGGTAACAGATAAGGCAATGTATTGCATCTATTATATTCTTTTTCCTAAAAAAAATAATAGTACTTTTTTTTTATGAACTCAAGTTACTAATTGAGGTCAAATAGTTAAGTCAAAGGCAGTATGAACATTTAACTTGTTTAGAAAAAACAGGAGAAGATATTTTGGCAAACGCTTTTTAAAGTGGAAATGTTTTGTGTAGGGCGTCCGAACGCACCGTCCTGTCTGGATGCACCTAACTTCGTTCAAAAGTCCCTAGAATCAGAAAGCCTTCTTCCAACTCCATCGCACCGACGGAGCACTAGCTGCTGCGGATCCTACGGGCCCCGCACCACCTGCTGCAGACCCACGCCGAGCTCCTCGCCCGTGGCCACTCCGTGAGCTAGCGCCTCCTCCTGGCCCTCGTCTCTGTCGCGTTCTACGTCTCCCCCTCGTCCCCACGCCAGGCCGTCTCCGCGTCGATCCTTCACGCTGCCGGCGCCTCCACCTAGCGCACATCACCCTCATCGAACGCCTTGCCGGGCGCCGCCGCGGCGGTGGCCGGGCTGCTCCGTGGCGGATGCGTTCGCGGCCGACGCCGCGATGCGTGTGGCAGGGGTGTCCCCAACGGGTTCACCTTCACCTTCCTGCTTAGCGCGTGCAAATCCCTGAGGCGGTAGCCGCTTGCCAGTGCGTCCATGGACAGACCATGAGGTGTGGGTTTGGCTCCGACGTGCTCGTGCAGAGCTCTCCTGAGCACGTACTACAAGTGTGGTGACCCGGGTGTCGGGTATCAATACCAGGGATACTCGAAAGTAGAAAACTAATGGCTGCATATCGATAGTCCACCCGGATGGTCAGAGGCGTATTTAAGGTCTCGCCCGACCCTGAGGGCGCGGGCTCCGTCGCGCCCGACCCCGAGGGCGCGAGC